GCTACTTACCTAAGTTTATTACTTTTTGTACTGCAGTTGTGTTCCTTTGTACAACTTCAGCTATATATACAACTATTTGATGGCTTCTCCAAGGAGCTTTGTGGACAGGTAGATGCAGGGGATTTCAATTTTGAGGTGCCAATCATGGATAATTTGTAGACATACCAGTTAGGAAATTTTCAATTATATTTTTAGTAAGTTATTGAATGGATATGAATTGAAAAGGCATTCTGAATGTTTCTGAGTAAGTTATTTATGCAGTTTGTTTATTTTGTAGCTTTCTTGATGTAAAGGAGGGCCGCTACAACCCGAAAATGTCACCTAACATACCAAAACAAAAATGGCGAAAAGGATCCCAGGTGATAATCTATTGACTGCCTTTATCTTTATTTGCACTAAACCTTGCCTTACTTGTAAAACAAAAGAAAAATATATTTTAAACGTTTTGTATAAAAAAAATTCTTTTATTTGAATTCTCTGAAGGACATTCAAAGGCCACAACTTCCTCTTTTGGGGTTACAGATCCAACATTCTTGTTTGTTAAGTCAAGTCTGTAGTCTTTAACACTGGTTCACTTGCTTAGATATTATCATTACTGTCACCATCGTTATGATTATTCCTCTGCATCTGTGGTTGGTAGGGATGGTAGTACTATGTAATATGTATGCATGATTATGCTCTGACTTGAATTTGATTGGGGAATCTCAGTGGATTGCTTTGGTTCGAAGCCATGCTGAAGTCCTTGTGGATGATGAAGTTGTACTACCAGCGTTCAGGAAATTTTGCAAGGTACGTAATCAATCATTGTATGTCTTGAGTTTTTCTGTGTTTTGTAACATATTTCAAAATTTCTATCTATTCTCTGAAGAGTCATTGATAATAGAACTACATCCCCTTAATTTGTCTATAGCAACAAAGAAGTAACTTCACTGCTTCTTACTTTGCAGCGTCGCCCACCTCTGGATGCCAGAAAGGGGAAGCTGAACATTGTAAGCGTGCATAGGCTCAGGGCATAACGTCTAAAAGTATGTAGTTTTTCTCATCCAAGTGAGAGATAATAGGTTCTGATTTGGCTTAAATTCGAAATGCAGAAACTTCAGAAGCAACACAACTGTATCCCAGATGAACACTATGTGCAGACACTGCTTACAGTAAGATTTTTTAATTTTTGTTGTTGTTTTGTATCTTTCTCCCCCTTTGTTATTATTTATTTATTTATTATAATTGACCGCTCTGTTGCAATGGCTTTTTATGAATTAGTTATCACTAGTTCGAGAGTTTCTGATTGGGATCCTTGTTTTTACCTGTTCTATGAATTTCTTTGTTAGATGAGTGAGCGTGAAGACGAACTTGAGCGAAGGACATTAACCTATACACTGTGGAACAACTCTGCAACTAAAACAGAGAGTAAGGGCTGGCATCCTATGACTTTCACCCACGCGAATGCAGCCCCTCAGAAAATAAAGGAAATAAAGGTGTTATTAATTTTTTAAAATATTTTCTTGGCTTGTTTTCCTTCCTGTTTCATTGTTTTGACTTGTGCCTGCCTATTTTGACAGGATATCAACCATGTATACTATGAGACAGAATACCGGACAGAGTGGTGTCGTGTAAATTCGACATATGTTCCCTGTTTTTTATTCGCAAGGAAATTCTCCCAGGGGGCTGCCATGCGCCTTCTTAGCGAGGGAGTAGTTGGTCAATTTGATACCTCTTCATTATTAGATCCACCACCATGATCCTATACTTGAGAGTTCTTGCCGCTGCTCACTAACTGTTAGCCGACACTGAAACTATAATTTGAGCAAGTAAGAAGCCCACCAGAGGTTTACAGATATATTATACTCACACTCACACGATAGATTTTGATACTAAACACACTATAAAGGTTGTAGAGATGCAGCTGTTCAACGTTTTTCAAAGATGATGAGTCGTCAGTTATCACAGAGAAGGTAGGAAATATCCAATGGTATATGCTTGTTCCAGTCAGACTTGCTGCGTTCTATATAATGTTGAAATAGGAACATTATCATCTTGTCTTCTCACGACGGTGCTCGAGACGCATATAACGATTAAAATATTCTCTTTGTACCCTCCAGGCGAGTTGAATAACTTGGAACTTCAGACATTTTTGGTCTGCTTGAAAAGATTGCATCATTTACTTGGGCCCGTTTTAAGATTATCTTTGTATTTTTCATTTGTCGTTGTCTTCTTACAATTTCGAAACATCTGCACAAAATTAGACCCCCTTTCGCCACTGCCTAAGCTGAAGGTGGCTCATTTCCTCGTGTATCATTAGGTGTAGATTGTTACACGGATCAAAACTCTATGGTCTACAAATAATGTGCGTGCAAGTTTAGAATTCTCTCACTAATACTGCAGTAAGGATTGAAGAGAGGTCTTCTCAAAATTTAGCAATCAACTGTCTGGTTTATATAGTCTATACTCGATTTACTCATTTCCCAGCTCAACATTTTCAATATTGACACCATATCGTCATATTGAGGATTTGTATTGTGATCCGTAAAGAATGTAGTGACAGTCCCATGCAATTCAATAAAACTCCAGCCAGGGAGTTTTTTCAAGCCAAGAGACCTCATTTCGGTCCATGCCTCACCAACGCCATCCCATCTGTTCATTGAAGCATAGCTATGTGCCAGTTGCACGTAGTTTCCAGCATCCACAGGTCTCAGCGTGAAAATTTCTTCTGCGATAATGATCCCCAGTTCCTCATTGCCCTTGGTTCGACAAGCATCGAGGAGTATGCCCAAGACATCAACTGCAGGCTCTGGAAACACCCTCTTGTAGAAGTCATAGGCCTCTTCAACCCTTCCGGCTCGACTGAGAAGATCTACGACACAAGCACGGTGTTCCAGGCTCGGTGCAATGCCAAAATCTTCAGTCATTGACTGGTATATGCTCAAACCCGTATCGACAAGCCCATTGTGGCTGCAAGCAGAAAGAATTGAGAGGAAAATGACATGATTTGGTTTCATTCCAGTGTGCAGAAACTCTGAATACATCCTCAATGCAGTCTCTGCTTTTCCATGGCAGCCATAACCAGAAATAATTGTGCTCCATGAGACCAGATCCTGGTTTGACATCTCAACAAAGCACTTGTGAGCTCTGTCTAAGTCACCGCATTTCGAGTACATGTCAACCAGAGCTGTGTCTATCAAGATGCATGGTCTAAGGCAACTTCTCATGGTAAAGTTGTGAATCCACTTTCCCTGATGAAGTGCCCCAAGAGAAGCACAAGCTTGGAGGAGGGAGACCACGGTTAATGAATCGGGCTTCTCAAGGGTTGCCCTCATCTCGGAGAAAAGAACCAGAGCCTTGCGTAAATGACCGTTTTGTGCATATCCAGCAACTATAGCATTCCAAGAAACCAAATCTCTTTTGCCTATCCTTTCAAAAACGGCACGACTTTGCTCCAAACGTGCACACTTTGCATACATGCTAACAAGGGAGTTTTGGGCAGGGATATCCAGTCTCATTCCTTGCCTCAACACATAACCGTGAATTGAGGTTCCCAGATCAAGAGAACCCAGTTGCGCACAAGCTGCAAGAGCACTAGCTATGGTAGCACTAGATGGCTCTGTTCTCGATTGTAGCATCTGACCGAAAACGTGTAGTGCCCTGTCTGCAGAATCATTTTGCACAAGCCCTGAGATCATGGCCGTCCACAGAACCACATCCTTATTTGCCGTCCTTTCAAATATCTGAACGGCAATATCAATGTTGCTGCACTTCAAGTACATAACTATAAGCGCTGTTTCGACATGGGAATCCAATTCAAATCCAGTTCTTAAAATCTGCCCGTGCAGAGACTTTCCCAATTTAAGATCACTCTGTGTGGCAGCCACAGACACAGCAGAAGCGTATGTCTGTTTATCTGGCAGAATACCTTCAACCATCATCTTACGCAAAAGCTGAAATACTTCTCTGATATTTCCAGTCTGGGAATAGCCTGAAATCAAGGAATTCCACGAAACTATGTCTCTTCCATCCATATACTCAAACAAGTCCCTAGCATCTTCAACTCTTCCACACTTACCATACACATTCAATATGGAATTCAGTAAAGTAATATCAGACTCAAAGCCATATAGTACTGCACAACCATGCAAACACTGCAAATAAGTAAGCTCCGTAACTCCGGAGAGCAAGCTTAGCAAAGTAACCGAACTGGGCTGAATTCCTTCACGCCGCATGTCACAGAACATATCGAACGCAATGCCAACACTTCCGGCACGCGAATAGCATCCGATAATGGAAGTCCAAGGAACAACATTTCTCTCAGGCATTACGTCAAAAACTTTGCGGGCATTTTGGGCATGTCCAAACTTGGCATAGAAGTTGATCAGAGAAGAAGCAATGTAAGCATCCAAAGAGAACCCATTAACGACAATACATTGGTGGAACGAGAGGCCAAAGGCGAAGAGGTTTAAGGAGGTGCAAGCTTTGAGGAGATTAGGAAAGGTATAGGTGTCCGGAGGGGTGTTGGTTTTGAGCATAGAGGAGTATGTGACAAGGACTTCTTGGTGAGAGCCTTGGGATGAGAGGCGGTTGATGATGGCGTTGAAAGTTTGGGTCGTGGCAGTTGGTGAAGGCTGAGGTGGTGGTCTCAGGGGGTTTAAGAAAGAGCTGTTTAGCTTCTTCATCATAACTCATGCTACTGATTATTGACAATGGAGGGTGGGGGTCGCCAACAAAGAAGATTACCGAGAAGTGAGAACGATTTTTCATATTTATTAATATTAAATAGAAAATAGAAAATAGAAAATAAATATCAGATTAACTAAAGTTCAAAAATCTGTTTAAAAAGTATTCTCGCGCACTTGGAGCAAAAATCTGTTCGTAAATGATCTCACTAGTGTCGTGCAGTTTTGTTCACTGGGCAGAGCATGGTGTCTAAAATTCAGTTCAGAATTCAGATTGATGGGCCAAATATTGAATTGGCATACTGCAGGTAACAAGTGTGCCCGAAGTTCCAGTCATGCTCATGTAAATTATTTATTCAAGTTCACTTATCTGTTCAAGTTACAAGATACAGTTTGAATTACATATCCAAAATGGCATAGACTACAATTTGCCAAAATCAGTGCACAAAATTACAAGAAAATAATTCAAGTTTGTCCGGCTAATTTGATTGTTTCTTTGGATATTCTCTCGCCCCAAATATTGTAGATCCAATTCTCACATTTGTGCTGCCCAATTCGATCTGCAAAACCATCAAATTTCTCCATTAGTCGAGCAATTTAATACATGCGTAAGTTTTAACTTAGTGAAAAAACTTCACTGGTGCTAGGATCAATAAATTTTTCTTTAACATATAAGGTTGCCCAAAAGATGACAGTTTATAAGTTATAACAACCCAGCACCAAGATACCCCAAACCAATCACCCCCTTCCCCTTTCCCCTCTTCTTATTGTGAAACAGATTACAATAGCGTAAGATTGGTCCTTACAGCTAGCTCGAAGTCTGCAGACATGCCCATTGAAAGTTCACATTGCTCTTCTGGTATTCCAAGTGCCTTGCACACCTCAGTTCTGCAGTTCGCTAAAGTCTGAAAACAAACGGTTTGGTTTGAGATTTTCCAAGAAACCAAAGGTGCTGAAATTTTGAGAAAGATTTACATGTGGTATGTTGGAGCATCACCTTAAAGTTTTCTGGTGTAGATGTATAATCCAGCATCCCAATTGTCATTAGACCACAAAACTCAAGGTTTGGACAGCCCAAACTGACATGCTTTGCGAGCTCCACACATCCAGAGGGCTCAACACCAGATTTTGCTACAATGGTATTTTACAGAGATCAGATATTATCTAGAAAATATTAAGAATAAATGACTAACTTATGGAAGCCCCATGGATTGTTGACAAACATTTGATAATGAACAAAATGAATGAAAACATTCATCCGATAACAATGCAAATGCAAACCACCATAGTCCTCAAGCAAGCATCTCCCACTGTATCTAAGAAAAGGGTTGCTCATATCTAGTAGACTTACATTCTTCTCCACTGGTATTCACTTGGAGCAAGACTTTCAAAGGCTTTCTGCCAATGCTAGCAACTACAGTATCAAGACGATTTGCAATCTGCAAAACATACAAGGTGGAGTAAACTGAAAACCAACCAAGGTGCTCAGTTTAAGAACTGCTGAACATGATTATCCATAAGAAAAGTATGAGCTTCCCTAATTACAGGTAATTAACCATGGCCACTATTCTTGAATTACCCCAATCATTATAAATAAAGCAAATATTGTATACAACACAGGACCAGTGAATTCAATTTCCATCAGAAATCCAAAGGGGAACTAAGACAAGGTACAATCTTGACTAGAATTACATAATTGTTACAAAATAACATTGATTTTCTCGATACCCATCACCCAAAACTAACTTTACACAGAAAATGCTGTTACTAGAATAAGTGTCTACCTTCTCATCATCCACACCCTCTACCATTGCAAGGTTGGGTACACCAGCTGCACAATTTGAAAATAACAAAACAAAAACGCTTATTGCTTTCTACAAATGGGCTAAAGGCTTAAGTTATGACCAAACATATTTGAAAAAGAAAAAGAATCATACTTAGAAGGGGCTTTACTTTGTTGCTCTGCAAATTCCCAATAAAATGCCACTCAATATCTTCCGGAAGCTGCAGGGCCCAAATCAATCACCAAAAATTTAACCACTTTCATTTCTTTCAACACAAATAAGTTGGTCGAAACTCAAGAGAGAGATAGAGAAGCAGAAAGAAAGCAACCTGAGGAGCTTTCTCGACGAGTTCTTGGACGTAGTTTTCGCCGAAACAGCGATGGCCGGCGTCGTACACTTGGCGGAGCACAGAGACTGGCTTCGTCTTGCTCACTGCCACCACTCGGATCTCGTGGGCTACACGTCCCGATTTTTGGGCTGCCAGCTGGACGCGCTGCATCACGGAACGGAGCGCCGCGGCTGCGACTCCGTCGATTGCGGCAGAGCTGGCCATGGCTGGTTGCTCCTCTCCTTTGACTTCGTTTTCTCTCTCCGCCTTCTCCAGATTGTTGGCTTACGATACAATCCCATTGCATTCTGTGCAGTGGAGCTTAAAAACTCACGTTTGCCATTACTGCCCGGAGCGCCAGAAGGTGCGGATTAGAAACGTCGCCGTATTCAACTGCAGTGCGAAAGGTCACATTTGGACTGTTTGATAAGGCCCAAAGAAGATAGTTTTATGGCGTCGGCAGAAGCCCAAAAGCTAGGTTCCTGGGCTATAGAATGTAAGGCTTCAGCTGAAGTTTATGGCTCAGGTTTGATGTTTATGACCTTTTTTTTTACTGTTGTTGTTGTTGTTGTTTTTTTTTTAATTTTATTTTAATATCCTTGCTTTTAATTTTTTTAAATATAAATCCAGTAAAGGATTAACGCAACAATAGTCGAACGATGTCTCAAGTTTGAATTCATCACCTTAATTGATAACAAAAACGAAAAACAATAATCAAATTCTTATTGTAGGTGTGAGAATTTAGTGTATCCCTTACTAGTCACATTGAGGAACAAAAAATGAAACAATTGTAGGAAAAAAAAAAAAGATTTGATAATGGGTAGGGCGTTCAAGGAGACGTATACATATTGCTGTTCAATTTCACTGCCTCACGCATCATTGCACGCTTAATCCACTTAAAAATTTCCAATCCTAGAGCAGTAACACCTAAAACACAAAGTATTCCAACATAAGTCCATTTCCACTTTGCAGCATGAGCTCGATTGTTTATTCCTTGAAATATGTTTGCTATGGTTAGAGCAATCAGAGCATAGCCAAGAAGATGATGGCATATCTTCACGTACTTGGGAAACCCATTTTCTCCCTTAGGTCGCCAAAACATGGCAAGCATCTGAACGAACAACCATTAAAAAAAAATATTATTACACAAATGACTTAAAATGAAAATAATATTTACCCTTGCACTTGACGTCCTAGATTCTATTCCTTATTTCCTAATATCGCTTGTATGGAAAAAAAAAATGAAAACAAGAATTTGACTTTTTTCTTTATCTGTTTGGAGCCAAGAGGATGAATTTGACTTACTTGAATGGTGGCGAAAGTAAATATAATGATCCCAAGAACACGATGTGTTTTGTTGCTTTGTTGCTTTGAAGAATTCCCAAGAAACATGCCACTACACCATCCAACGGTGCCTACAATGTATCCACCGCTCTGACACTTTATGTGCACAGAATACCATTCGCTGCACTTGAAGGGAAATTTTCTGAAGTACCTTGCGGTTATTGCTCCGATTGGCAACAAAGTTCCCCATCCGAAGATATTCAGAACCCCATGCGTCTGTCATTAAACTTAATTACGCACTTTAATTAATTAATCTTCTAATTTATCAACAAAAAAGAAGAAGAAAGTTTTTAACAAATATATATCTTACATACATTTCTTAGGTAATGCTGAAAACGAGAGGGGTTTTGACCCCTCCATGTTCTTAGATGTGTTGTGATCACTGCAGGGTTCTGAATGGAAGTAACCTGCATTTGGGGTTTCATCTCTTCTGCATTGGAGTAAGTTTCCCAAACATGAAGTTGTTTCTGCAAGTCAACCAGCTGATTAGTGTTTCCCTGGTAATTGCAGCTTGAAGTTTTGGCTTTGACAGAATGCAGAGGAAAAATTAAAGTCAGGATAATCAGGCTTTGGTAATTCATTATATCTCTCTCTCAAGCAAAATTGTTTGAGAGAGAGATAAATCCAAAGGTTTCACCCAAAAAAGAAAAAGAAAACAGCAAATTTGTACACTAGAAGTAGAAATATTGTAGGTATATATGCTCAGGGTACAAAATTGTTGCTCATTAATGTTGAAGCCTGAAATATTTTCTTAAGTAGTGAATTGGGTGTTGAGAATATGTGCTTTCCTTACCAAATTGGGGAATCAATGTGTGACTTGTTTTAATGGAAGTAGGACAATCAGATTTTATTCCCATCTTTATTTCCCTTGTCCCCCCCTTTCTTATTTACTATTCAAATTTCAATCATGGGGTTAAAATATCACAAAATTTTATCAATGATGTGAAGGTGAGGGAAAGGGTAACTTTCTTTGTTTTTATATATATATTTTTTCTCAGACTTATCATTGGGATACAGAATCACTGGAGGAGGCCAACTTTTCTTTGTTGCCAATCAAATGATTTCTTCAGAGAAGATATTGAGTAATTTACAAGTAGCCTAATGAATTTAGACCATCACTGCAACCACACAAATAAAGCAAAACTTGTACATCAAGTTTCCAATTGTCAACTCTCCCCCCATTGTTTCTATAAAATCCCGTATCCTATTGAAACTCTACACTAAGTCTACACTCTTCTCCTACAAAAATATCCTCTCCCTACAGGAAAAGAGAGAAAAATATCATCAATTTATAATTTAGTCATGGCCATGAAGTTGATGAACATCTTCGTTACACTCCTAGCAATGATAGCCATTGTTGCAGCTGCAAATTTGGACGAAGATTACAACGAGGACGTGGCAATGCAGAGTACTGAAGCAACATTGCCTGAAATACCAGATGAAGGAGAAACAACTACTTCTTTAAGAGGAGTGAGCCGTTTTCTTTATCAGAAGAATGTGCAACAGGCCGATTACACTTGCAACAAGTTTCCTAGGGTTTGTCGTTTGAGGAACAGTCCAGGGCCAGATTGCTGCAAGAAGAAATGTGTTAACGTGAAGACGGATCGATACAACTGTGGATTTTGCGGCTACAGATGCAATTACACTGAGATTTGCTGCAGGGGAAAGTGCGTCAATGCATCATTTGACAAGAGGCATTGTGGTGGGTGCAATCAGCAGTGCAAGAAGGGAGAGTACTGTGTTTATGGGATGTGCAATTATGCATGATTTCACACTATACGTACTTGTATACATACATATTTGTTCTGTCACACATTATGACAGCTTACAAATAACACGAAAGAGAAAGAAGAATTACACTTAATACTTTATAAAATGAATTAAAGCATTTAATATTGTGAAATCATTGCAATTATAATGGTTTCAAAATACCATATATATATACTTTTCTGTCTTTCCGGCCCATCAGAAATCTTCCATCAAATGGGAAATGTCGGGCAAAATTATATATACACGCGTTTCAACTAGTATTGTTCTGATTTTAATTATGTCGAACAAATGTCATATTATTCAAGAGTAAAAAATGGTATAGTAATACTTGTTCTACAATCTAGCTAGTGATTTGAAAAGTGCGACTCAATTGTTTAATTATTGCTAAATATATGGCAATATAATTTGCTGCAAATTTAAAGTCGCAATGCCGTAGAAACATTTTCATGTGGTGAGGGAAGGTACACAGTACCAAGTTGGTCAAAGAATTTTCATATATAATACACGGCTAGATAAATACAACCACATGAAAACTAAAACTAAAAAGACATGGCTAGATAAATCAGAGTTGTTTTTTGGTTTTAGATATTGGATTCAGAAAGAAAAAAAATTTGTTTTAAAAAACCAGAAAGAGAAAAATAAAATCAGACGACATGAAATACTGTGTTTTCATGGGAAAAAAAATTTAAAACCCCGAAGCTGCAAAATTGAGTATTTTAATAAGAGTGATTCCGTTACTTAGTGTTACTTATTATTTGATTTAGGATCAATATCAAAGAATTCTGTAGAACGTTTTTGTATCATTAATTAGATTTAGGATATATCAAAAACAATATTGCCCAGATTGTACAGTTAAAAACTTTGAGAATCAAAGTATAGAGAAAAAGGGATCGTGGGGAGATCGATGAATGTTGTTGGGTTTTGTTTTGGAGAGATAGTTTGTATTAGGGTGTACAAGGGGTATTTTTGATAGTTAAATAGGGTGTACTTAGTTAATTTTACTTTTTAATTTAAATATTATGGTATACATAGATCATAGGGTGTACTCAGTAAATTTTAGATTTCATTTAGCAGCACTCATAAAATACTATTATAATTAAATAGTATAGCCGATCGGCTATACATCAGTTTTTTTTTGTTTTTTTTAATAAATAGTCTAGCCGCTAATAAAATTAAATTAGTATAGCTGTGCTAATATACTTCAGTGTTTTAAATTTTTTTGAATAAATAGTATAGCCGTGGGGCTATACTCTTTAATATAATATAATAAATCGTATAGCGGCGCGCGGGGCTGTACTTCAGTTTTTTAAAAAGTTTTCTAATAAATAGGATAGCCGTGCGGCTATACTGCAGTTATTTTTTAATTTTGTTTATTAAATAGTACAGCCGGGCGGCTATACTTATTAAATATAATATAATTTAAATAGTATAGCCGGTCGGCTATACGTTTTAAAAGTTTTTTTAATAAATAGTATAGCCGTGCGGCTAGACTGTTTAAATATAATATAATTACATAGTATAGCCGCGCGGCTATACGGGGGTTTTAAATATTTTTTAATAAATAGTATAGCCGTGCGACTATACTGGGGTTTTTTTATTTATTTAAAAAAAACTTTTTTTTCCTTGAATTTCGTTCCTTTGCATTAGGCACCGCTTTGAGCTGAGAATTGGGGTGCTCTGCCAAGGGGTATTATGAGATCCTTCATAAGCTCGTACTGTTCTGCACTTATTTGGGTGTTCTCCAGCACCTATTTAGCCAACACCAAAATCGCAAGTACAGCTTAAGGTTTTTGTTTAAAAAAAGCCCTTCGGTTCGATAAGAGTAGTTTAGAAAATGCACGTTTAAAAAAAAAAAAAAAGCAACATACAATTCATGTACGTACATATGTTTCATGTCTAATAAATTTTCAATTTTAAACAAAGTTTTTTATTTAATAAATAGTATGTCGGATTTTGACTTCCATGACCACCTTCTTGTTGTCTTAATCGACCCACCCTTTGTGAGTTCTAGGTTAGGGCGCAGTTGGGCACCGTAACCCAGCTTCCGATTCATCTCGCATCACAAGTTCTGGTTACCAAAAATAGCCCACTTGGAGCTCTCGGTTCCATGGTGCGGCTCAACAAAGCAGGGAACGTGGTTACCTAAACATTTTCAAGTGGTGAGGGAAGGTACACAGTATCCAGTTACCAGTTGTTGCCTCTTTACTCAACAT